GACGCTGCTACTGTTGTATTTATGGACTTGGTACAAGACAATCTAAAGATGTCACTCAGGAAAAGGCTAGAAAACATAGAGAGGTATTAGCAGATCTCACATTCAAAGAATTTTAGTATACAACAAAATCTATCCATTTAAACCAGTGTTTACTAATAAATTGGTTGATGGTCGTCGTTTGAACTTTTGTTTAACAATGGGCAAGAAACTGATTGATAACAGATTATTTCATTACAATATTGTATTTACTGATGAATCAACATTCACAATTGGCGTGGTTTTCTCTCAAAATTATAGATACTGGATTACAGATAATCCAAATTTTCGATTAATAACTAAAAAAATTTAAAAAAGTAAATATCTGGTGTGGCATAATGTATCATAAAATAACTGGTGCTTACTTTTTGGAAGAAAATGTTAATCAAAATTCGTATTTGGAAATTCTCAATAATTTTGTTTTGGCAGAACTAGATAGCGAAAATTTAGAGTTCAGAAGAAAACTAATATTTCAACAAGATGGATGCACTATGGACCAATACGTTGGCCTGCACGGGCTCCCGACTTGTCCCCATTAGATATTTCTTATGAGGATACCTAAAGTAAAAACTGTATTTAAACAAATTTGGCGATAACATTGATTTACTTAAGCAAAAAATTCAGGAAAGTTGCCACCATAAACGTAGAAATGATCTCGTCTGTGTACAAGGAATTTAGAAAAGATTAGATTGAATGAAATATATTTACAAGTTGAATATGACTTGCTTCGTTAATTGTTATTAATTCCAGTCTACTTTTATTTTTTGGTTTGCAGGCTACCATGGCAGTTGTTAATGGTAGAACAATTTCCTGGCCGGTTGCCATGTCGTCGGTTAAGTTTTCTTGACGTTTCGAGAGACATATTGCTCTTTTCAAAACCTCGAAAACTTTCAGAGTTACTTCTGAGGAAAGAGCGATATGTATCTCGAAACGTCAAGAAACGACTTGGTAGCCAACCCGGATATTGTTCTATCAAGCCATATTATATTAAATTAAAAATTAAAGTTAACTAATTTTTTACCATTTTTGCATGCTTTAAGTAAGATGGTTAAAAATCGTGTCTTCTTATTTGCAAAATGTGATTATTGTTATTTTCTGACTAAACCTTGTATTTAAGCTTTTCTTGGAGTTCTCGAACAAGTTTTTAACGAAAACAAAAATTAAAGGCACTTTGCTTAGGGAAAATTTCACATTTTCAATATTTTAGACGCCCTGTATGTTTTATTACATATTTCATTACTGTTCATGGTTTCCCAAGATAAGCAAAACTTTATACAAGAGTAACTTTTTCTCGAAAAATCAACAATAAAAATGTTTACAGGAGTGCAATACCCCATCCGGCGACACACTGTATATTTATTTATTTCAGTGTTTAGTGACGGTACAGTGTATTCTTGTGTTTTCGTTTTCACGTTTTTGAGTGATATTATGAAAAAGCATGTATACGAATCAAGAAAAAGTTTACATGATTCGAGCCTACCTTTTGTCTGGAAAAGACGATATCAGATGGATTTTCCCGAGCTTCCAGACCGTATAAGAAAATGTTTGTAAGATTGGTTCTGTGATATTATGGGAATTTTGAACGCCAATACGCTAATGTTGGGCGGGAACGAACTCGGAGAGTGAGAAATCGGAAGTTTTAAACGCCGTGGAAGAGGAACCTGGTGCCAGTACTCAAAAATTAGCCACAAGGTTTTAGGTATGTCATATGCTGTAAAAATCAGATGAGTAAACAGACTATTTACTTATTTTTGTGTATTCCATTTATCTTTATTTATTTACCACTGCTTGATTTTTTTGTTAGATCATTTATGTGGGGTGATAAACGCCAATTCAATAAAAGTAACATTCCAAAAAGCAATACTTTACAACGGGTGGTGTGGAAATATATTATAAAATTATAACTTATCATTTATTTTTGGTTGTACCTCAATTTGTACCAAATTTTACGTAGCATCGAACTTACTGATAATGAAAAATTTAAAATGGGCATGGAATCGTAATCCTAGTACTTATTTGCACCACTTTTATTTTGGTTTATATCACAAACCCTAGGGGGTTGAGGGGTGAATAGTGAATAAATATATAAATTTTGCGAAATTTATCTGACATGAAAAATGCAAACGGATATGGATTCGTAATCGTTAGTACCTATTTGTTTGCTTTCTACTGTACCTCAAACCTATACGAGGAAACGAATTAATAAGAATTATGAAATTCGTTATATTTAATTATTTTGGATTATAAATGTTGATCTTAAATTCTTGGTTTTGCTATATGCAATTGTTATTTTCGATTACACACATTTAGGTGATTTTACAATACTTAATCTGTGAAATTAGAAATTAATAAAAAAAATTAACAAACAATGAAGTTAATTAATTTTCTAATAGCTTGTCTCTTCAGTCATCGATTTCATTTAGATAGCTATCTGGATTTCTATTTGTCCTATAATTTTATTCTTCATCGTTATCGGAAGTTATTTCACGTCAACACAATGCCTTATAACTGCTGCATTCTTTTCTGGGTCTTTTCTGGGTCTTGATAATTAGTGACAACTGAGGAAATACATTACTTTCTTCAGTAACATTTTTTTGATATTTTTCTGGATTGATATCCTGAGTTTCGTATGGAAGAGGTGTTGTTTCCATAACATTTAGTCCGGTCAAATTAGTCATAAAAATAGTGGTCAAATAACAAAAATTCCGACAGAGCTAAATTGGTGGAGACCTTGGGTACACCATTAGAAATAAAGTGTCAAAAGTCCCCACCGATCCCATGTGTGCTAAAAATGTTATTCGGGGCCAAAGGTCAAAATTTGAGGTTTTTTGGATTATTTTCGAAAACGGTAAGTTTTAACTTTAACTTTAAGTAAGAAGTAACTGAAAGTGTAATAATTCGGACTTGCTAAAATATAAAGTGTCTTGGTATTGAAAGAAGACTGTCTATAATTACGCACTTCATTAATAAATCTTCACGCTACTTTTTTACCAGTGAAAGTGATAGCGGGTATCGCATGTAATTATGACCCAGGTACCAATTTTTTTCCGGTTGCTTGGATACCAGGTATCTCTAATTTTCATATATTTAATATTTTATTGAAAAAACAAAAACACGAACCGCGATTCAGTATATGAGGATAGACTGACTATATGGTCTAATAACAGTGGCGGATCGCCAGGTGACTCAATTGATGCACCGCTTCACCTAAAATTTTCATTTCCAAACCAAAAAGTGTTTAGGTTTTGAAATTTGATATTGTTTTTTTTTAGAAAAAGAGCCTCCGTAGACCTTGTAGCCCCAGGCCTCATAAGGGTAATCCGGCCCTGCCAAGAACAATAACTTTTTCTTTATTTCATACGTTGTCTGTGATAAAATATAAGAATGCCGCAGTTGTGGCTGTTAGTAATGGAACTATTGGACTCTATACAGCACACTGATATCACCAGGGTGGGAAATGGGAAACTTAAAACGACGTATCATGAGTAATTAAACCTCAGATAACCACATCGCGAGTTTTATTGGAAAAAAGAAAAGTGCCTTTAATTATCCAGTGGGGCTCAAAATAAATCGATTTAGCTGAACTTACCTTAGTTCAAAGTTGCTCCACTTGGGCCCTGATATTGCAATTTTGAAACTGTTTTTTTTTTTGTAAAATTAAAACGGCTTATGCGATTTTGCTAAAATTTAGTAAGCTGACATCGCTCTATAGGACAATCAACCCTTTATCAAAATGATGAGTAATATCAATTCATTGGCGTAGAACTTGGGGCTTTTAGTAATTCCACCTACCATAATTCTACGCCAATGGAAGAACAGAATTTTAAGTATAAAATTTAGATTAAGTAAATTATTTACTAGAAAAAGGTACTCTTGATAAGACTCGATCACTTTCATGGTTTATTCGAAATTTGAAATTTTAATCATTGGCAGCAATTTTGACACAAAAATTAAATTAGGATAGCATAAATGCAATAAATAAAGATGTCATAGTAGCTGTTCAAAGTGGCCACCATTTACATGCATATACGACGAAGAAAATTGAAATGTAATCTTTGCATAATTTCTTCGTCGCCTATAAGAGTATTTGTTGCATCTTGAAGAAGTTGCCATAGTTGTTCTTCGCTTTCTACCGATGTCATGTAAACCACGGACTCCATAAAAATAATCCAATAGATTTAAGTCGGTAGAACGTGGTGGCCAATTTACAGGAGCATCATTACCTCTACCCATCCATTTGTTTGGGTACTGTTCATAAATTTGGGTACTGTAAATAAATTTATAAAAAATATCCAAATGAAGCAATTTTGAACTAAAGTAAGTTTAACTAAATCGAATTATTTTGAGCCGCAGTGTATCTGGTGTAAAAACCTTATATATATTATATGATCCTATGGATCTAGCTTCTTTTATAAGACATCAAAGATGTTTGTTTTAATTAAGTTTTAGCCATATCTTTCCAAAAAACAAGTGTACCTACTGTATTGAAATTTGACAGACAAGTATAATTTTGTAAGTGTTTCTTTATTCTTGTCTAACAATCTATAGCGATACAACAAGTATATTACTGTTAATGTTAATTAATCATAATCAGCATTCTAAAAATCCTTAAAGCTCAATAAAACAATAGTTTATGGGGCGCTCCAGCCAGTAGGAGCGTAGAAAGATTTATACAAATTCATTTCTAGTCCATATAGGTATGTAGTTTATACTTTGTTACACTGTCAAAAAGTAAAATACATTTACGAATACTAGTTTACTAAATTTCATGTAAGTCGGACAAAATATTTGAAGGTCCGTTGAAAAAAATGTATAATTTGTAAAAAAGTAGGTGAGTTTAACTAAATTATCTTATTTTGGTTTCAATAATCTGTTCTAGCAGTATGTTTGTGAAAAATGGTAAAGTGTGTAACTTTAAAAGTAGGTACTGGTACTATCTTATATTTTCAGTGATAAATACATACCGTTCCTTAACGTGGTAATAGGTGATTTACTTTCGGTTCCATTAAATCCGTGAATAATGATTACATTTTTCTTTGAAGGTTCAAAGCCGGCATATTTTAAAGAATATTTGTTTCTTACATCAATTCTCAGTCTTTTTTGGGCAGTATCACTAAAAATACAATTTTTAATTTAAAATGTACTATTTTTATTGAAAGAAACACAAATTAAAGACACTATAACAACAGCATTGTACATATACTTATTGTATATCCACGTTGTGTATATATTTTCTTCCAAATTTCTATTTTTTCTCTTATAGTGAAAATAAAATATGTACTTACTGTGTATATAAATAAAATTTTATATCGTTATCTGGACACTCGTAATCCCTTTTCATGACACATCTCCAGTACTTGAAGTCCCATATATTCCAAACACCACTTGTGGCATCTAAAGAGAAACATGTCTGTGTTACATACACTCTGTTTCAAATTAAGACGGATCGCTAGTGCTATCTTAGTTATTATTGTAATTCAAATATTGGGGGTCGTTTTTTTAACTGTCGAATAAAAATTGTCTGTTTGATTATAAAGGCCCCAAGGTATAACTCGGTTATCCATTTTTGCACACCTTGTAAAGTATATATATATTTTTAAATGGGATGTTATTTTCTTTATACTGGCGCAGAATTTTTTTTTTTCGTCACTCTTGTAGATGAGTGGTGACGTCATCGATATTTTTGATATGGGATTATATACATTTTTGCATCTTTCGAAGATTCCTTTATTCTCTTTCAATCATATGAAATTTGTGTGCCTTTGCATAACGAAATGTTTTTGACCTTAGTTTACGGTGCCCGCTTTCTAATCATATCAAATAGAAGGTACATACTGGAAAAACTATTTTGCATATCGTTATCTGTTTGTTTCTAATTGTAAAGTATACCACGGTCTCAAAAATGGGTAACCGAGTTTATACCTACACAGAAATAAAAATTTCTACATGATTTATTAAATATTAATTTATATTGGTACGGAGATACATTACTAATTGTAAATATATTTTTTAATCAACTGTTACACAGCGAAACTAATCAAAAATAATTTAGTTAAACCATATTGCTTTAATACTACAACGACATATTATTTTAAAGTTACCATGTTTTTTTATGTTAATCGCTGTTCTGTTGCGGCATGCTTTTGAAACCGAAAATGCCGACAGTCTTCGCACCTGGCATAAAACGGGAATGGCTGAATACTTCACTTTCATTTGGTTACATTTTTAATTTAATCTTCGACTTTATCGGTTTGGAAGAGGGTGTTCATAAAGTGAATTTGTGTGGTGTAAGTGTATAATCTTATAAAGTTATTTATTTCAGTGCTCAGTGATGATAGTGTGTAATTTTATGTTTTTGTACATTATGAAAAAGCACGTATACGAATCAAGAAAGAGTCGATATAGTTTTTGTCAGGAGCAAAGAGACGGTACCGGATAGATTATACTGGTTTATAATTACCGAATAAGAAAATGTCAGATTGGTTCAACATTCAAGATTATGGGAGCCTTGAACTTCAATACGCTAATATTGGACGGGAACAGATTCAGAGAAAGAGAAATTAGGAACCAGAAATTTTAAACACTGTGTAAGAGGCACCAGTACTTGAAGAAAAATTTCAATTTCCTAAACCTAAAAAAAGGTAAAAAAATAAGTTTAAGTTAAGTAAAATAAAGTATTCATAAGTGTTTCTAAAAGTTTAAAGAAGTCTATGTATAAATATGATCCCACTCAAAGTACACAGCACTCTGTATAATTAAAAAATTAAACAGTTATTGTACAGGGTGATTCACTATATTTTGACCCCCCTTTAACTTTTTTTAAGTTATAAAAAAATGTGAAATACAAAAGTTACACGATTTTTTATGTAGTTGACGAAAATGATAGCAGAAAAACAAATGAAGTCCAAACAAAATGGTTGCGCATGCTAACTTTGTTAATTAAGGAAATAAGGCATCTTGTAATTGTTAGATCCTTTTCAGGCATTTCTGCCTTTTTTTCCAATTACGTAAGGATTTACAGATTTAGTTGTAATATATTTTGACATATCGAACATCGATACGGTCCAAAATGCGTAGGTATTTTAACTAAATCTCACTAATTAGACCGTGGTCGTGACAGTGACAGGTAATAATGTCATGATAACATTGTTAACAGTTTGTAATATTATTTAGGTCTATCAATTACAAGATATGTTATTTTCTTAATAAAAAACCTTCTTCTCGTTTTTTAATACTCGCTTATTGTTAGAGATGGACTCGACAAACCCTATATGACTATGCTTGACAGGGAACGTTCTAGCCAAATATGTAAAAATATACGGGGTGTTCTATTTAAATTAACAAAGTTAGCATCCGCGGCCATTTTGTTTGGGCTTCATTTGTTTTTCTACTATCATTTTCAAAAACTTCATAAAAAATCATGCAACTTTTGTACCCCAATTTTTTTTATAACTCTTAAATCAAAAAAGTTAATAGGGTGTTCAAAATATAGTGAATCACCCTGTCCTTTACTATTCTTTGGTACTTGTAAATCCTTAAAGTTTAACAAGTTTTAATTAATTATTTTTTTCTATCAATATCATATTAAAGGCTACTTTGGCTTAGGCAATTTGAAACTGATTACACATGGGGACATTCAAGCAATTTGATTTATCTGTAAAATCCGAGGACGAAGAAATTATAATAAATATAAAATATATTATGGTCCTTGATATGAACATTAATCCGCAGCCAGGTTTCATAAAATACTTTTAACACGAAAAAACTTGCTTCGAAAGTGTATCGATAGTTTTAATAACACAAGAATTAGGTTTGCAGACCTGTAATGGCAACTGTGAGATACCAGATATAATCCGCATGATTTATACTCAAGGATATTTATAAGTAGGTACTTAATGTAATGTAAGTTTTGACTGTTGACTTCGACCGATTTGATAACTAAGAATTGGAAATAGGAATAATATCTATACTTTTACATAAATTTTCATGTATACTACTCCTGCATGTTTAGCAGGTCTTATGGATTGATATTTCGAAAAGAAGAAATTGAGGGTATTGCATCGGATAATATGTACTTAAATGATTTACTTTAATTCTGAACTTCTGCACCTACGCAACTGTCCCACCATATCAAACTTCACTTTACTGCAAACTGAAAAATGATACCAGTCAAGATCTGGAGGATTTACAAAATATATCCACTGCCATAAATTCAATTTAACGTGTCTCACAAGATATATCACTTTGATACGTATGACATCGAGAAATGTCACATATTATTTTTGTGCTCGGTATAAAAGATTATAAATGATTGTATCTCCGCGAATGACTGACTACTTTAAAAGTGATAAACTGGGGATAAATTGCAATAAAATACAATACAGGGCGATTAACATAATTCGATAATGAAAAGAGTTTTTTTTCAATTCTATAAAAACAGCTGTCAGAGCACTTCGACAATGCCATTACAAAGTTTAGAGCCACGTGCAATTTGCTTCGGAAAAAATCATCATACATGCCGGTATCAAAGAGTTCTATTTATGTTTTTCACAAATCTAAAAAGTGCCTATTTGCCCCCAAGGATCTTTTAATCCTTCGGACATAAACAAAGGAATTTTATTATGTCATACAAATAGTTGCCCAAGTGATTTCACAGCTATGCATTGACAAATCTGTTTATAAAATAGTGGGTATAACACAGAATGTACCTATGTCTAAGCAATATTAATTGTAATTAAAAATATTTGATATATTAATTTCGTATATTATGTTGGAAACAAATCTAGATACCATGTTATTCTTTAATAGCAATCATATTATCTTAGCAACTCTAGGGTAGCGTAAGTTCCCTTATGACTTAAATAATAGATAACCTTTTTTCTTGTAATGTTTCTTATTTTTTATTTTGCTAATAAATGTACCTTCAGTTTGTTTTCAAAATGACATCTTGCAAACGGCGTCCATTTTCAGTTTCGTCCTGGCGAGTTTTCTCCGTTTNACAGACCTGTAATGGCAACTGTGAGATACCAGATATAATCCGCATGCAAGGATATTTATAAGTAGGTACTTAATGTAATGTAAGTTTTGACTGTTGACTTCGACCGATTTGATAACTAAGAATTGGAAATAGGAATAATATCTATACTTTTACATAAATTTTCATGTATACTACTCCTGCATGTTTAGCAGGTCTTATGGATTGATATTTCGAAAAGAAGAAATTGAGGGTATTGCATCGGATAATATGTACTTAAATGATTTACTTTAATTCTGAACTTCTGCACCTACGCAACTGTCCCACCATATCAAACTTCACTTTACTGCAAACTGAAAAATGATACCAGTCAAGATCTGGAGGATTTACAAAATATATCCACTGCCATAAATTCAATTTAACGTGTCTCACAAGATATATCACTTTGATACGTATGACATCGAGAAATGTCACATATTATTTTTGTGCTCGGTATAAAAGATTATAAATGATTGTATCTCCGCGAATGACTGACTACTTTAAAAGTGATAAACTGGGGATAAATTGCAATAAAATACAATACAGGGCGATTAACATAATTCGATAATGAAAAGAGTTTTTTTTCAATTCTATAAAAACAGCTGTCAGAGCACTTCGACAATGCCATTACAAAGTTTAGAGCCACGTGCAATTTGCTTCGGAAAAAATCATCATACATGCCGGTATCAAAGAGTTCTATTTATGTTTTTCACAAATCTAAAAAGTGCCTATTTGCCCCCAAGGATCTTTTAATCCTTCGGACATAAACAAAGGAATTTTATTATGTCATACAAATAGTTGCCCAAGTGATTTCACAGCTATGCATTGACAAATCTGTTTATAAAATAGTGGGTATAACACAGAATGTACCTATGTCTAAGCAATATTAATTGTAATTAAAAATATTTGATATATTAATTTCGTATATTATGTTGGAAACAAATCTAGATACCATGTTATTCTTTAATAGCAATCATATTATCTTAGCAACTCTAGGGTAGCGTAAGTTCCCTTATGACTTAAATAATAGATAACCTTTTTTCTTGTAATGTTTCTTATTTTTTATTTTGCTAATAAATGTACCTTCAGTTTGTTTTCAAAATGACATCTTGCAAACGGCGTCCATTTTCAGTTTCGTCCTGGCGAGTTTTCTCCGTTTTCACGACTCTCGTTAGGATTTTGGGATTCCATTGTCGGCATTATTTCTCTAAACCCTTAAGCTATTGTGTGGTTCTTGGCTTATTTGCATACATCCGTTTGCAAGATGCCATTTCAAAACAAAATACATTATTTCCAAACAGTGGATTGAACATTAGAAATATAAAAACTAGAAAAAAAACATGTATTTATTGTTCAAGCAGTAACAGGACTTAAGTATGTT